ATATGGACCAGGCACGAATTATAAAATTTTTCTTCCAGTGACCTTGAACTTCCCCAAATGACCTTGGGTCAAGGTCATGACAAACCCATGGGTCATGGGCAATCTTTGTGTGGAATGAGAACCTACCAAGTTTATCCATAAGAAAGATATGGACAGGACACAAATTATGAATTTTACTTCCAGTGACCTTGAACTTCTCCAAATACCTTGGGTCAAGGTCATGACACACCCTAACGTCATGGGCAATCTTTGTGTGAAATAAGAACCTACCAAATTTATCCATAAGAAAGATGTGGACCACACATGAATTATGAAATTTTTCTTCCAGTGCCCTTGAAGTTCCCCAAATGACCTTGGGTCAAGGTCACGACACACCCTTGGGTCATGGGTATTCTTTGCATGAAATGAGAACCTACCAAGTTTATCCATAAAAAAGATGTGGACCGGACACGAATTATGAAATTTCTTCCAGTGACCTTGACGTTCCCCAAATGACCTTGGGTCAAGGTCATGACACACCTTGGGTCATGGGCAATCTTTGTGTGAAATGAGAACCTACCAAGTTTATTCATAAGAAAGATATGGACCGGACACGAATTATGAAATTTTTCTTCCAGTGACCTTGAAGTTCCCCAAATGACCTTGGGTCAAGGTCAAGACACACCCTTAGGTCATGGGCAATCTTTGTGTGGAGTAGTAGATTCTAATGTCCCTCCGTAAGAAAGATATGGACCGGACACGTTTGCACAGACAGACGGACAGCTAGACAAACGGACGGACGGATAGATAGACAGACAGACAGACGGACAAGGTGATTCCTATATACCCCCCCAAACTTCGTTTGCAGGGGATATAAATATAGCAAAAGAAAACTTTAGAGATCAATTGCATGAGTTGACAGGCGCGGATCATCAGATCTAACGAGACGCGAAGCATAATACCCTGAAGCAAGCTAAGATTTTCAAAGAATTCATGTATTCTCAATATATAATCAATAGGGCCCTAATGTCAAAACCACTGACCCAAGGGGCCATGAATTAATTTCACAATTTTGGAAGAGGCAGCCTTATTCAACATAACTATGTACTTGGTTAGTTTATTTAATACCCAGGAGCAGAGAAGAAGATTTTCTAAGAAATAATGTATTTTCACTATATAATCTATACAGCCCACCCTAGAACCTATAAAGAACCCCTAACCCTGAGGCCATGAAATTCACAATTGCGGAAGAGGCATCCTTATTCAACGTAACCATGTACTTGGTTAGTTTATTAATGCTCAGGAGCAGAGAAGAAGATTTTCAAAGAATTTATGCATTTTCACTATCTAATTTATATATAGCCCCGCCCTAGCACTAGAACCCCTGACCGCGGGGCCATGAATTTCAAAAGTTTGGTAGATGACTCAAAGCTGATTACAATCATGCCAACAGTTTGACTGCTTGATATCCAGGGTTAGAGAAGATTCTTAAAGATTGCTTAATTTTAGTAGTTTTGGCCCCACCCCTCAGGCCCAATGGGGGGGCAGGGACTATGAAATTAAATAAAAATTTTCCCCTTTACCCATAGAAGCTTTATGCCAAAATTGGTTGAAATTGGTTGAGTGGTTGCAGAGAAGAAGCCGAAAAAACAGGTTCATGTATCAATAGGTGACCTAAAAATCGGATCGCGGAGCAGGTCGCAATTGAGTAAGTTACAAACAATACACTAAATAATGTTTGTAGTCATATTCTCCGTAAAATGGAGCAAAAAGGAAACCAGAAGTCTCTGTCGAGACTGAAGCTCTACTGGTTTGTACTTATAGCAAAGGAAGAGAAAAGTACTTAAGCAGTTGGGAATTGAAACTTTACAACAGCAATAAATAGAATAATGATCCTTGATTAAGTCTCTTTGTGTTCTTAGTGTAGTCTACTTGCATGCCAAATTATATTATAATCAGACTAAAACTGTATTTGGAGTAGCATTTTGAGAGTATTCAACAGAAATTTCTATTTTTAGTAAGCACGGCAACACCGTTCATTGAAGTGAACAACTGATACACAGAATTATGCACCTTAGTGTAGTCTACTTGTGTGCCAAGTTACATGTATATTGAAATAAGACCAAAACTGTAGGAGGTGTAGCATTTTGAAAAAATTTCACAGAAATTTATATTTTTAGTAACACCGTTCATCGATATCAAAAACTGATACATAGAATTATGTATCTTAGTGTAGTCTACTTGCATGCCAAATTATACGATATTATAATCAGACTAAAACTGTATTTGGAGTAGCATTTTGAGAGTATTTAACAGAAATTTCTATTTTTAGTAACCACGGCAACACCGTTCATTGAAGTGAAAAACTGATAAACAGAATTATGTACCTTAGTGTAGTCTACTTGTGTGCCAAGTTATATTGAAATCAGACCAAAACTGTAGGAGGTGTACCATTTTGAAAGAATTTCACAGAAATTTATATTTTAAGTAACCACAGCAACACCGTTCATTGAAATCAAAAACCGATATATACAGAATTATATCTTAGTATAGTCTATTTGTGTGCCAAGCTATACTGAAATAAGACCAAAACTGTAGGAGGTGTAGCATTTTGAATGAATTTCACAGAAATTTCTATTTTTAGTAACACCGTTCATCGAAATCAAAAACCGATACACAGAATTATGTATCTTAGTGTAGTCTACTTGTGTGCGAAGTTATATTGAAACAAGACCAAAACTGTAGAAGGTGTAGCATTTTGAAAGAATTTCACAAAAATATATATTTTTAGTAACCACGGCAACACTGTTCATCGAAATCAAAAACCGATATACAGAATTATGTATCTTAGTGTAGTCTACTTGTCTGCCAAAATGTATTGAAAGCAGACCAAAACTGTAGGAGGAGTACATGCAGCATATTAAAAAATTGTTTACAGACAGACAGACGGACGGACGCCGGACGCATTACTATTGCATAAGCTCTTTTGGTCTCTGACCAGTAGAGCTAAAAAACTAGAAATTCAAATTAAGAATTGTTACATCGATTCGTATTCCAAATTATAGGTTAATATTTTGCTTCGTTGAAAAAAAACCAAACAACTTGTCAATGAGAAGATATGTAATCCTCATTAAAAACGACAAAAACCATGACGTTTTAGAGCGCCACGGAGCAGCAGAATGATAATGGTGCAATTTTGTGTTTCACTCGGGATATATCCTGAATAAACTCTAAAAATGTTGAAGAAATAAAAAAAAATATGTCACAAGCGAGTTGTAAATGTGTGTACAAATAGTACAGGCAGTATTTGAGTGACAGAGACTCTGAATCGGATGGAGACAATCTGTGAAGAAACGATATAAACTGTAAATATGTATACCAAAATTTTAAAAAGTTGTAACCTCAAGAAAAGACATATTCAGTAGGCGCTTCAGAGTTGCTTCTTCTATGAAAGCAGAGTTAAGTAATAATATATAAATGGTGCCTGTTTTGGAGGGTAACAGTTGAAATTGACACCCCAAGGAACCCCCTTGTCCACCGACGCGTCAGCGGAGGTTGACAATGGTTTTCCGAGGGGTGTCAATTTCAACTGTTACCCTCCAAAACAGGCACCATTTATATTATTATACTGAATGTCATTTTTTATTAAAAGATGTCTGCAAAAAAAATCGTCGATTGTCTTTACGTTCACGTTTATAGAAAGCTTTCAAACTCCCCGCTACTTCGAAAAAGATTTACTAACCTCTTTATTGTTTATTTGATACTCTAAGAGTCCTTTATCATCGAAACTTTCGTTATCTAGCACTCGCAAGCATGTTTCGTCTGTCGTTTGTTGTTTTTAAGTAAGCTACATCAGACGCAAGCTTTTATTGACATAGCTGCATATCTGTAGCTCTCTGAAAAAATATATATTGATAGACCGGAGAGCTACAGTGCCACCCATTGAAAAAATTGTATATTTATTGCGCACAAAAAAGTGCGCTCGGTTCTTGATTATTTCTTCCAAATTCTTACCTCAATTGCAAAAAGGGAAATTTTTTTTTTTAAAATTCTCTCTCCTCCATCAAGTACTCTCGTAGTTGACATCTGAACGAAGCATATTGGACCGAATTATCTTTGAAACCAAAATGGCAGCATAAACAAGCGAAATGTTCGATGATTACAATATCTGGGTCAGGAGGACTATTAACAACAGTTATGATGAATGTTTTGTTGTGTAAAGAGTCAAAGAATATGTTAGGAACACACGGTTAGTAATATTTTGAGATTACAGTTTTAGAAACATGGAGAAATAAATCGAAAACCGAGCGCACTTTTTTGTGCGCAATAAATATACAGTTTTTTCAATGGGTGGCACTGTAGCTCTCCGGTCTATCAATATATATTTTTTCGGAGAGCTACAGATCTGCAGCTATTATTGACATCAAGTTTATTCCGGTTCTTTCAAACGCGCAACTGACGTATTGAGAATTCTACGGTGAACCGTACGCGCATAATTTCCACGCATGTGGCATTACCGTTGTGTTACCCGTTGCCACCAGTGTTGCTAAGGCTGAGGGTAATAGAACGGATTGTTAACTGCATTTAAACCAATCAGATTTTGGTATTTAACATGAAAGTATAATAAAAGAAATTAAAACACTAACAAAGGAAATTATACAACGCGAATAATTGTTAAAAATAAATGCCAAGTGATAGGGATAGTATTTTTGAGAAATTCTTTACGCTGTGTTTTTACGTTACATTGCCGTTAAGTGTGCTCCGCGGGTACAAAACGTTGATTTTCAAAGGAAGTAAATTGATTTCTGTTAAATCAAATGGAATGAAACTTCGCACATCAACAAAACAAATATTTTTTACATATTATACTGTGTTTAATTTAAATTTCTTGAGAGCAAAGAATAAAAGCGAAGATTGACATCGTCCACGAATTTTTCGAACAACCCTTGTATATGATGATTATGTAAAAATACAAAATACATTATGATAATAACATCAAGTGTATTTTCATTGATATACAGGCTGGTATTGAAAGGAAGCAATTGATGTTAGCTTTAGAGCCAGAGGCGGCCTCCATTTATTGTAATGTCGGTCATATAGGATTTAAGTCTATCAGAGGAAAGACTGAATCTTACAAATTCACAACAGGAACGCGTTATATGGTACTTGACTTGGGAGGTAAGAAATAAATTCTTAAAAAAAACCTGTTTGCATGACTCAGTGTAGCGCATTATACATCTGGTTTTTTACATTTATTTCAAACATATTCAGGAGGAACTGCCGACATTACAGTTCATGAGGTACAGCCAAACCAGACCCTGCGAGAAATCCACTATGCCACTGGTGGAGCGTGGGGTGGAACCAAAGTGGATGAGGCCTTCTACCAATTTTTGGTGAAGCTCTTTGGAAATGATGTTCTGACAAAATTCAAGACAGATAATATGGAAGATTATATATCTCTTTTTCGAAATTTTGAAATTAAAAAACGTACAGTCAATACAGACCTTGAAAAGTGGATGACTATAGTGATACCACTTAATCTACTTGATATATTTAAGAATGAAACTGGTGAAACCTTAGAAGAGGTTCTTCCACAGACAATGTACGCTGAAAAAGTCATCTTTAAAAAGGATAGAATACGAGTACATCCCGAAATTTTCAAAGAGTTTTTCAAAGACACAATACAAGGAATAATAGAACACATCACAGAAATTATGATCTCTTTTGAAGGAAAATCTGTGTCAAATATTCTTCTTGTTGGCGGGTTCTCCGAATCACCTATGGTTTTAAAAGCAATAAAAGAATTATTCCCTGACAAAAAGGTTATTGCTCCTGCTGATCCCGAACTAGCCGTCCTAAAAGGCGCTGTATTGTTTGGTCACATGCCAAGCGTTATTTCTTCAAGAATCAGTCGATATTCTATTGGTTTTGAAGTTGGTGTGCCCTTCATCGAAGGCTCTCACCGAGAGGAATACAAATATAAAAGACCAGAAGATGGACGTTCTATGTGTCGGCATATCTTTCAAGCATTAGTGCAAAAGGGGGAAGAGGTTCCTACCGGACATAAAGTAATTAAAATGTATACACCAAATGATGAAGATGCAGAAACTGGTATTGGAATTTACCAGTCAACCTCAGAAGATCCCACTTACACTACCGAGGAAAACTGTACCAAAATAGGTGCCATAAAGCTTCATCGACCAAATGGAGGCTGGCCAAAAGGGTCATTAATCAAAGCTGTGGTTGAGTTCGGTGGCACTCAGTTTGATGTGACTGTGACAGACGACACCCTTAATGAAACATACACCCACTCATACGATTTTCTTCGAAATTAATTCCCAAACATTCAACAAATGCTTCCCGTTTATTATTGAACTTCCTATTAGCATATATACTTATATCCAGAACTTATACTCACAATGGTCTTGGGACTTTTTCTCAGTGTTTGAACATGATTAAAGTTGCTTAATTAAACAACCCAAATTTTACATAAAGCATATCTAATATGTTTATTATAATAATTTTTAGACATAAACCACAATTATTCTCAGATAACAATCGCCTGTTATGGCCGGGACTGGTATCACCCTCAACCCAAGGGTCATAATATAAAACCAAAAAAACCACACAACCTATAGATGCGTTTATAATAGTTTGATATTTTCTAGCCAAGTAGTTCTTGAGGTGGAGATTTAAAAAAGATGTTATTCGTTCACTAATTCCTAATTATCTCCTCTGGAAGAAGGTGTGGACCTTTATTTGAACAATCTTCAATTAAAAAAAAAACAAAACAAAAAATTTTTAGTGACTCTTACACTGCACCGATATCGGAGCAATTTCTATTATATATACTCCATAAATATTCAAAAACAAAACTAAGAATCAAGAATCCAAGAACACAAATTCACCAACGAATGACATGCATGATTCCGACAGTATCTGTTGCCACGGCAACCACTGGTCTACTCCCATCATCCCCTATTGCTATGGCATTCACATGTTCACAGTTCAACGGAATCACAGTGGACTTGTTCAAGTCTAAATCCAGCAGACTTTTTTCTGTGGGAACATGATAAACGTGAACAACACCTACAATAAATTGTACACAAAATACAGTTGAACCTTGGTAACTCGAACATGGATATATCAAATAACTTGGGTATGTCAAAATAATTGGCAATTCCTATTATTGTCCCCCGCTTTTGCGAAAGTGAGGGGACATTAAATCTCATTTGTCTGTCCATCTCTCCTTGCAGTCTGTCAGTCTGTCCGTCCATCACAAAAACTTTAACATTGCCCATAACTTTTGATTAAGGTACACCTTTACTCAGATGACCAAAAATTCCACTGATAAGAACGAAAAACCCCTATTGCACATTGTGCACCGATGATTCTTGTGTTAAATTTCAATTTCAAATAACTAGGTCAATGACCTACTTTTCATGCTAATGGCCCCTGAGTATTTCTCGGGAAATACCTCAATTTTTCACACTTTGATCAATTTTTTCTATACACACAAAATATTACAAGCAACTAAACTCTTTAAATAATGAAATATTATAGCAATGGAACAGCATTGCTTCATATAAAGAAATGATTGGAGTTTGGCCCAGAAATGTGATAATTATAACAGTCCGAATTTCCTCTGTCATATCTATATTTTTTCCCCATTCTAAATCGAATATTACAAAAATCTGACTGACAAGAACTCTAAACTATCTATAGCCTCAGATTACTTTTGATGCCCTAATTCTCATAGTATTCATATTATATGGGGTCATTGATCAAATTATTGAGATATATTGTCTGGAATGGTTTTTGTACATATTTTTTAATTTCTTTATTTTGTAGCATTCTTTATTCTTTCAATTATTTGAAATAATTTATGAGCTTTAACACATATAATATTTGCAAAATGATGTTTAAAAATACATTTAACCTTTACTTCGTGATTATTATTGAAAGAAATCAAAATTTTTGACAAAATTGAAAAATTAAAAATTTAGTCCGAATTTCCTCTGCATTACATTACATTGACTTTTGTACCTGTATATTTTCTTTAAATAATAAAATATTAAATTTTTAAATTGATTTCGATTTAAAACTTGCTTATTTTATCCATTTAGAACAATTTTTGATTTAACATATTATACTTTATAAAATTTCCTTTCTGTTATCTGAAACCTGAGTAAACGTCATCCTTAAGTGGAGCTATGACTTTCATATTTCAAATGTGTATTCCTTTTGACAAGACCTGTCTTTGGGTACCACCAAATTTGACCTTTTGACCTTAACCTTGGAGTTTGACTCACTTTTACATAAAAATTCCGATATTTTACTTTTGCCATAACTTTTGAGTGGTAAAAACTAGGACTTTCATATTTCAAATATGTATTTCTTGTGGCAAGGCCTTTCATTGGATACCAACAGCCTTGACCTTTTGACCTTGATCTTTGAGATTTTTGTACTTGTGAAAAAACTTTAACTTTGGCCATAACTTTTGAACAGTAAGGGATAGGGCTTTCATACTTCACATATGTAATTCTTGTGAGAAGACTTCTTCATTGGATACAAAGAACTTTGACCCTTTGACCTTGGATATTAACTTACTTTTTAAAAACAAACAATGACCGTAACTTTTAAAGGGTTAGGCCTAAGGCTTTCATGTTTCACATATTTAATCCTTGTGACAGGACCTTTCATTGGATTTCAAGAATGACCTTGACCTTGGAGTTTGACCTACTTTTAATAAAAAATCTTTGGGTAATAATATATTTAAAATGCATTTAAGAAAAGTTTAATCTTCGGCATGTTGCCATTAGGGGTTCTCAGTGTTTCAAAAACATATTTTGTTCCTTATATTGAGAAGAGATATGACTTTCATATTTGATATAAGCATTACCTGTGACAAAATATTTCCAAGCATGCTATGATTTGTGACCTATTGACCTTGACCTTCAGGACTGATTTTTAAATTTCTAAATGACATATGATAGGGCATTCATATTTGAGACAATATGTCATAAAAATCTCACCCACAAAGACACCGAAAGTGGGGGACCACAATTCTTTGAATTAGCTTGTTACCATGTATTTCTTAAATATTTAACCTTTAAATGTCTCAATCCCTCAGACATAGTTTTTTCTCAGTGCTATCGAGTTCAAAATAATGAGGTTTGACTGTATGTTGATTTTAATATATTATGTACCATATTTCTTATTGTTTTTCTTGAATAATGAAGTGCAAATCGTTTCGCTGCATAAGCATTTTATAGATGGTGCTCTAATTTACCAGCATCTGCATGCCATCTCTGACAAGTTTGATAAAAGAAAGAAAAGATGTGTTAATGAAACACTGTTGCTATTTTGACTTTCATATTTCACTAATGCTTTTCTTGCAACAAGATCTTTCCTTAAGGACCACTATTTTTGTACTTATGAGACTGACCTACTTTTGAAAAACTGTTACCTTAGTCATAAGTACTAGGGCTATTACTGGTACATTTCAAATGTAAATTCCCTGAGACAAGACCTTTGCATGTTATAATTTTTTTCACACTTGACCTTAGAGTTTCACTTACATATTAAAATCTTGAAATCTTTAACCTTAGCCTTGAGCTGCCTTACAGCAGCAGGGGCTACATGTATCATCAGTTTTTTCATGCACACATTATTTTTACTTAACTTACCATATTTTGTTCCAATCACTAGTATTGACGCCTGCCATGCTATACATTCCACATGACACCCAAAGGCTTTGTGGGCATCTAGTTTACAGAATGTAGCAAAGTTAGCTGATATATGGATGTGTGAATCATCTGAAATACAAACATTTTATTTGAATACAGTAACTATAACCTAAATAAGCATAGGAAAATTATTTTTCACTATACATGTATGATTTCACTATTATTTCAATTCATAACCACACCTGATCATTTTTACCAATAAGTAAAAACTGAGATCATGCACATGCTGGTGCAGTGTATCTGATGGTGAGTGAATGTATTTACTGTAGTTGAAATGAAATGTTAGAGGTAGGAATTGGATATTTGTTATGTGTATTACTATGAAATCACTATTTTCAGCAAACATCTTCAAAAAACATTATCCCTTTTATGGTTTCACATGGGTCACTGTCTATGATATGATGTGTTAACATTCGAGTCTATAAATACCATATCCATTGAAGCAAGTTATATATGAAGGGATTATATGCATCAATGATAAATATAGTTGGGCATATAATTGCAGTAAAATATTCCTCATGGGGGGTTAATTTCGTTGTTTTCAAGGTAAGAAGAGACCCACGAATTTATGTCCACCATGAAATGCAATTTTCCACATATATTACCACTGAACAATTCTTAATCCATGAAATCAAATCCCCATGAACCTATATATTTTCCAAAAACCACAAAAATCTGACCTCTCAAAAATATGTGATTTTACAGTACTTGTCAAAAAACAGACTTAATGAATTTAGTATGCTCTAACCTTTAATAATTTTGTTGTGAGACAATATACCTATAAAGTGAATTCAAAATGAAAACAGGTGTTTGAGTAGATTTAAAATTACAATGTACATTCAAACTCTTAAAGATGCTGTAAACCAGATTTCATTTCCTTTGACTGTGTATAATTTATTTAGCATCTTAGGCTGAAAGCTGCTTAAAGTTGATATGGCTAGCACATTTATGTTTTAGCACATTCAGAAATGTACAATATGAAATGATTTTTAACTCTTAAAAATAAAACATCTACAGAACGCAGTATCAAAACTCTGTCTTTTTAAATGTCAGATTGTTATGTTCCTCAACATACAAGTACATATGATCACTTATCTTTTGAATTGCTTACTTATAAAACATGTTTAAAAGACCTCATTTCCATTAGTTATAAACTCAAAGTGTTACCAGTCAAACACAGAATAGTTTTTCCTTTGATGATCAGCTGTCGGACCCTGGATCTCAGATTATCCAGCACTGTTACAGAAGAACTACCGCTGATGTAGAAGACTTCCCCTGAGTTCCTTCCAAATACTATCTACAAGAAAAAAAAATTAAGGACAAATTCAGCATGCTTTAGACACAGTTTTTTTTTCTTCATACAGCATATCGTATAAGTATTACCAGTGCAATGGTAGGGGAGAATCCACAACTAACGCATGTAAACTGTAATAAACTTGCGCTACTACAGGTACAATACTAGACAATATGGCACCATTAATGGAATATATTCGTATCCCAAGCCCAATCACAAAACAGTCACACAACATCTGTGTTGGCACAGTTATTATCGATAACTTTTATTTATACTTCAAAAAGTGGAAATACCATCTATACTTGGAATTCTCCCTGTTTTTAAATCTGTCAACATGCAATGAGGGCAAATGGGGATAAAAATAAAAGAGGTGTGAAAAGGGAGGGGGGCTATTTCAGAACCATTTTGTTACCTTTCACCTATATTCTTACCTTTCCTTTGGTGGCTGCTGCAGCTGTGATATGAATATCCATCCAATCCTCACACACACTTATCCGTTTTGTGGTTTCTTCTGTCTGGTGGATGTATCCCCCAGAATACCACTCAAAGGAGGATAAATGGCCACCAGGTAAGGGACAGAACTCATGGGGACTGAAACAGTGAAACAGAATAGAAATTCAGAGTGCCCAAATCCCATACTGGTCATACAAGTGGCACTTTTTTCTTAAGAGTTAAGTTAGTTTAATCCTTCTTTTATAACAATGATCCTCATAAGGCCAATGAATATCCATCCAATCCTCACACACACTTACACACACTCAAAGGAGGATAAATGGCCACCAGGTAAGGGACAGAACTCATGGGGACTGAAACAGTGAAACAGAATAGTGTGCCCAAATCCCATACTGGTCATACAAGTGGCACTTTTTTCTTAAGAGTTAAGTTAGTTTAATCCTTCTTTTATAACAATGATCCTCATAAGGCCAATGTATCTACAGTACCTACCGGAGAGCGAACCCCAAATTCAGTAGCGGTCCCAGAGAGCGAACGTGGGTTCGGTATTTCTTTACAGAGCTGTCAATCAGGATTAGCGATTAACCAATCAGGGCATCAACCAATCAAAATAGCATATTGATCTGTCGATTGGGATATAAGATCGAATGTGTTCATTTAATTCGATATAAATCTAAACACTGTACATACAAGCAAAACGTGTGAATGTGCTGTGTAAATCTATTATGATAATTAAAATGTTATTTAATATTTATTTATTTTAATTCTCTGGGTTGTATTTTATATTTATATATTTATTTTCGAGAGAGAGAGAGAGTTATACAGAGAGAGAGAGAGAGAGAGAGATCATAACTGTAAACTCATCATTAGACTTGATTTTAATAATAAAACCTGATGACTTTTACTTAAATTTCTGAGTCGTCCTCCCAATACTGTACTCAAATTGTTTTCTATAAGCCTGCTGCAGCTATTTTTTTTTCAAAAAATATACGCACAGGAAGATATACATAAAGCACTAAAAATGACCAACAGTTTTCGGGACGCTCTGTCCCTTCCTCAGGACAAAGAAAAAAGTTAAAAACCAAAAACATCTAGCACTACTACTAAACACTATATATTTAGTATGTTTTACATGTTGAATTGGAAATTTATATAAACACTCTATGAAATATGTATGGTTTATCGGGGTACACTCAGTTGAAGTGCGATTTACATAACTGAACAAATTAATTACGCTAATTAATCACGACATTTAGTAAATCGTACATTGTTTCATTCTCTCAAAATGGCGTAACTATACTTGACAAAGAATAATCAGAGAAATATAATATAGAAGGAATATTTTAACATATGAATTATGATCTACATGTATTATAAATTTTGAAATGTTTTAGGACTAATTATTGGGAAAAAATAATTAATAAAGGCGTAAGGAATACATAGTTATGTGGGTTGTTCGAGAGTTGGTAACGCAAACTAACAGTAGAGTTACTAACACTAAATTGAAAGAATAATCTTGTTAAGTATCATCAGGAATTGGGTCTAATTCACGTTCATTCTGGTGAAGTAATTCAGTTGAATAATTTAATGTAACACGTAAATTGAGAAATCATAAATAAAATAATTAAATAATTAGAATTTTTTAAGACAATGTGTGTGTGAAATACGGGGCATATATTAATATATTTTCATCGGGTCGGGAGAACAATTATTATTTGCCTTTTTCTTTTTAGGTCACCTGAGTAAACTCAGGTGACCTATTGCTATCTGTTTTCGTCCATCATCGTGCGTTGTGCGATAACATTTGAACATTTTCAGCTTCTTCTCTGCAACCACTGAACCAATTTCAACCAAATTTGGCACAAAGCATCTATGGGTGAAAAGGAACAAAAATTGTGAATTTCATGATCCCTGCCCCCCCCCTGGGGCCTGAGGGGTGGGGCCAAAACCACTAAAATTAATGCAATCTTTAAAAATCTTCTTCTTTACTCCTGGACATCAAGCAGTCAAACTGTTTACATGATTGTAATTAGCATTGAGTCCTCAACCAAAATTGTGAAATTCATGGCCCTGGGGTCAGGGGTTCTAGTGCTAGGGCGGGGCTAAATAAGTATATAGTGAAAATGCATTATTTCTTTGAAAATCTTCTTCTCTGCTGCTGGGTATTAAATAAACCAACTAAGTACATAGTTATGATGAGCAAGAGTGCCTCTACCAAAATTGTGAATTTAATGGCCCCAGGGTCAGGGGTTCTGGTGTTAGGACGGGGCTCTATTGATTATATACTGAAAATACATGAATTCTTTGAAAATCTTCTTCTGTGCTCCTGGGTATTAAATAGACAAACTAAGTGCATAGTTATGATGAGCAAGAGTGCCTCTACCACAATTTTGAATTTTAGGGCCCCAGGGTCAGGGGTTCTGGTGTTAGGGTGGGGCTCTATTGATTATAGAGTGAAAATACATGACTTCTTTGAAAATTTTCTTCTGTGCTCCTGGGTATTAAGCAGATGAACTATCGATATAGTTATTAACAAGGCCTAATCTTTCAGAAATGTGAATGTCAAGGCCCCAGGGTCAGGGGTACCATAGAGGCGGGAGGGGGGGGGGGCTGTACTTATAGACTGAAAATGAATGAATTGTTTGAAATCTGCTCCTTAGTATTAATCAAATATTTTTGAAAAGCAAGGATGCCTTCAAAAATTTCGCAATGTGTGGATCTAGGCCTAAGGGTCTGAGTTCATGTGTGGTAGGGGCACTACTGATTATTGCTGAATATTACTGATTAGTTGAAAAGCATTTTTTTTCCTCTGCCCTGCCTTTGGGTATTAAGTTACCAAACTAAGCAACTGCTAAGTGTATAGTTATGATCAATGATGCCTCTTTCAAAATTGTGAATGCCATAGCATCTGGCTTAAAACATGATTCAAATTCAATAACTGGAAAGTTGTTGCATAATGCTCAGTTGACCTATAAGGCCCATGGGCCTCTTGTTTCTGATAAAAATCATACTCGCTCCAAAATTCTGACCGTGAAAATGATCTAATATACAGTGTAATTTTTTTTTTTTATAGAAAATGTCCAGTAAATATTTATTACGAACTTTTAATGTGTAACTACTATAAATGAAATCTAAATATATCAGATGTACAAAAGGTTACATGTAATTTATAGATGCGATATCATTATTCACGTGTTAAGCAAACATTTAAACTACGATTCAGCAAAACGTAAGGAATAACAAATGTATTTTTAGACTACATAAAGCATGAATTTAAAAGTATTTAGTTTAGATTTCTTTCGTCAGTTTCATTTGTACACCATTCGATTAACTGAAAATCAATTCAACACTCTGTTTTTCCTCTTTTTTTTTTGTTTTCTCGTTATAACTTAAGAAAAATAAATGCCTAATAACCCGCTCTTAAATTAGTTTGAATTTCTCGGGATCGAGAAATTAAGGAAATCAATTATTCATGTACATGTAAATCTACGTCGAATGTACAGTTGGATTTTAGAAAATTTATCAATGTTCTCCATTATATCACTGTTTACATGTACAGTGTACATGTCCACATCGTCGCATAAACAACAATGATCGATCCACAATACCATTACTGTATTGGAATATACAAGGGGCGGGGCTTTCTGGCGTTGAGATAAAAGCGGGGTCCGCTTCACGCATCAGTGCCTAAAGCGGTCCTAGGAAGGGAACGCAGGGTTCGCTCTAGCGGACCCAGAGCTGACCCCGAGCGAACCCGGGAAGCGAACGCGGGGTCCGCTCGGGGTTCGCTCTGGTGTTAGGTTGTGTCCGGTCGGTACTGTAAGTGGGTTCTGTGATGCTCGGAGATGAGAGGCATTGATTGGACTTTGGATGAGACATAAGTCTAAGCTTCGCTCGTTATGCAAATTATCCCATGCTTCCAACTATAGTTGATGCCCTTGCATACTCTACTAACTAGACAGTGATTCCTTAGGAAAGCCCTTGAGCCAAGGATACTCTGAACTATCCAATTTGATAAAAACTGAGGGTTTAGGGTTTATTGATGAATATGGCCTATAAAAGATACTAAAGAGTGTGCCACATCTGTTTTATACTTGTTAGTCTTAATGACTATAATAGAAGATAAAGGCCAAACAACAACTAAATTGTATGCCTGCAATTCAGAGAGATGACTCAGTTTTTCCATTGTCAACTTTCATTATTTATACATGTACAGCAATATTCTGTTATCATTCGCATATGAGATTTATATGTCTACCAGCTTATTCATAACTCAAAAACATGCTTCTGAATACAATACAGGCCTGCTGCGGACAGATAATTTGATGATACAAGGATTTTAACAACCTCATTTAAACTCTACATTTTTCTTCTTTTTTTTTTTTTTTTTTAATTTGGAACAAAAAAGTACTGTATTATATTGATAAAGAATAATATCCTTAAACCACCTTACTTTTCACATGGCTTCCTAGAAACTTCTTGCTGCCACTGCCATTGTGATACATTGCTTGCCGATTTCCGCCCTTCATTTCTGTAAAGTTTCACCTTATCTTTGTACACAACCATAAGTGTCTCTGTCTTCTTACCAATACCTTGAAGCTGAGAGGTTATACTTCCTACAAAGTTCATACATACAAAACCCGCGTACAATATCAATACATATACTTATATGGACAGGGGCCGTTAATAGGGATTTATTATTATAGGGTACGTGAATACAAACCTTTTGGGTTACAGTAAATTGCCTGCACAGGAGAGTAAACTGAGTCAGTAACTTTTGTGCTCTTTTGACCTGTGTCTAAATTCTTCCAGAGAAAAACATCACCATTTTCAAAACCACTATATAAAACCAAATCTGGAATTACAAAATTATTGCATTGAGAAGGTCAGCTGGTACAATCAGTACATTTAACAGAGAAACTTAAATGATGAATCACCTAGAAAACTTTATTTATAATTATATCATTCACAGTCAATATTCATACTAATCAATTAGTTTTTGTTGATTTGAAATATTAAGTAACTGTTTTAATTTTTTGATCAACAAGGCACATATTGTCAGGTCCAGTACAATCTCTTGATTTAGCTATAAAGCTTTAAATAGCTATATAGCTTTATTAAGCTATTCAAAATGGCTTTATTTAGCTATTTATATACAGTTTTTCACAAAAATGTTTTTTGCTGAAAATAAACAAAAAGTCGCATGTATTTGACGCTTCGTACATGTAGTATGGACTATTAAAACAACAACCAAAATCAAAGATAGTTCTAATCTTGCAGCTTTTGAATACTTTTAAGCAAAAAAAGAATGTCTATTGTTAGACTAACTGTCCACTACCTTGGGTGCCTTGAGGCAAGGAAAAGTATGATTGCTTCTCATTGTGCTGAACTGTTACCAATCAATTATCTTGTTGAACATAATTGGTCTCCATTATAATATCATTGCAGAAGTAACTGTATCAATTGCTTTATATAGCCCCAAAACTTGTAAAACTTTGAGTACAAAGTCTCTCAAGGAGACGTAATTTGATGAGTGATTTTTACATGCATTATTTTAAGAAGAATTCAAAGTTGTATATCATCACGGCACCAAGGTGCGCTTTTTTGTACATACTGAGAAAATTACACCTTTAAGAAAAAAGTGTAGTAAAATAGCTAAATTAAGCACTATACTGAATAGCTTAATAAAGCTATATAGCTATTTAAAGCTATATAGCTAAATCAAGAGATTGTACTGGACCTGATTGTTTCACCTCTAAAAGAAAACTTAAAATCCCTGATGATTACCATTAAATGCCAGTGCTGTTACTTGGCCAAAGTCTTGGTTATATTTTACAGTTGTCATAACATAGAGATCCTGTTTTACACGCCATGCTCTTACATATTCTTTAAATATTTCCTTCCAGAAAATCCACCCCATCTTAGAAAGCATGTGATAAAAAATATCTCCTTTACTCGTTTCCACCAAGTCATGGTCAAGTTTAGAGATATCAATTAAAATGCACTTGGGGATTTCTCGAAGGCAATAATCTAGCCATAGGTTTCCCATCAGTTCCATCTTCGAAATAATTTCTTTCCAACGAATACAAACTTTCTTGCTATGCATTAAAGTTCTCGCATCCATATGCTTGAAAATATTCTCCAATACTTCATTTGGAAATTTTTTTCCCATTTCTCTTATTTCGACTGTTCAAGCACGACATGTAAAAAAAAAATCACGAATCCTGGTCAATATATCGTGTTGTAAAAATTATGCAGCATATTATCAAATTCTGGCACTTCTTCATCCTTCCGTGGAAGATACTAAAGACCTGATATACTAAAGACCTGATATTGACCTGATGAAATAAAAATTAAAATAATTTCTCTGTTTTCTGTGTTTAACATTATGTTTTGGTTTTGTTTATATTTCTGGGGTATAGGAAAGATATTTAGGCATAATTATTTGTAAAAATATTGGTATATTTATGCGTAACGAGCCATAAACTACGGAAATGGCTTGACCTGATATTTTTTTATTGACCTGATATTGACCTGATGGAAATAAAAACCTATAAAATCTCCGTGTTTTCTGGTGTTTATCGTTATGTTTTGATTATTCTTATATTTCTAGGGTATAGGACAGATATTTAGGCATACTTATTTGTAAAAAATATTGGTATAATTATGCGTAACGAGCCATAAACTACGGAAATGGCTTGACCTGATATTTTTTTATTGACCTGATATTGACCTGATGGAAATAAAAACCTATAAAATCTCCGTGTTTTCTGGTGTTTATCGTTATGTTTTGATTATTCTTATATTTCTAGGGTATAGGACAGATATTTAGGCATACTTATTTGTAAAAAATATTGGTATAATTATGCGTAACGAGCCATAAACTACGGAAATGGCTTGACCTGATATTTTTTTATTGACCTGATATTGACCTGATGGAAATAAAAACTTATAAAATCTCCGTGTTTTTTGAGTTTATCATTATATTTTGGTTATTCTTATATTTCTTGGGTATAGGACAGATACATTAGGTATGTTTGGGTTAAAAAATATCGGTTTAATTATGAGTAACGAGCTATAAAGTAAGAAAGTGTATTGACCTGATATTTTCCATTGACCTGATAGAAATAAATTCTCCGAGTTTTCTGTGTTTATCGTGATGTTTTGGTTATTTTTATATTTTTGGGGTATAGGACAGATATTTTAAGCATAATTATGTTTAAAAATGTTGGTATAATTATGTGTAACGAGACATAAACTAGGAAAATCGTTTAACCTGATTTTTCCGTTGACCTGATAGAAATAAAAACTTATAAATTCTCCTTGTTTTCTGTGTTTGTTGTTCTCTTATTCTTATTCTTATTCTTTTATTTCTGGGGGAAAGTACAGATAAGTATATAGATAGGTATGTCTATAGTATGATGTTTTTCTTTAAAGATATTGTTATAAATCGGTATCGAGTCATACTAGTAAACTATGTGAAAGTAATGACCTGATATTTTTATTGACCTGATATTTTCTATGAATGGTGTATTGGATAATAACTCAAAGCATTGTATTTGTATACATTTCATAAACTAATGTACACGTTTATTTTGTTGTTAAGTTAAAAAAAAATATATCCCTATTAAAAATTATATTTCAATATTTGTATTTAATTTTTGGAAATTTATTTTTTTTTATGTCATTTATTTTCTGAAAGGAAATGTGCAATCATAGATGTGTAATCATGGCTATTGGCATAGAACTAATTATTATGAATAATAATTCTTGAAAAAACTACTTTTTACTATCATTAATCATAGTGTGCAGGTTAGTATATTTTTTTTTCAAAACTCGCAAACTCATTAACTAATTGTTAATCGATTGATTGATACAGTGATCAGCATAATCAAGAAACCATAAAAAAAAACTGCCGCTTGATTGAAGTTGCAAACAAAAATTTTAACCTCATTAAACTCTCTCTATTACATATTGCTTTATTACTAATGATAAGAATAATTAGTAATTAAGAATAAACAAATTCATTGACATTTTTCAATTCACATGGGCGGGAATAAATCTAATTATCGTCTCAAAATACTATAATGCAATAAAATATCTAGATTTTTCATTTCCTCTTGATTTTTCAAGATGAGTACCGTGTGTTATCGTATTATCTTGCTTTTGTCACAGCGTGCAATTTCCTATTTTTAGGTAATAAACAATTTCAATATTTATCATTGTAATATCATCGTTCTGGAATGAGCATAAGTTCTGCTGTTCGGGGTCATATTTGACAAGTTTGGCTTGCTTAATTAAATAAAATTTTGAAACTCAAAATATGGATTTTATGATCGTAAAAGATTGGTAATGATAAAGATATCTTTTTATGTCTTATTCAGAATTTGTTAAATATATTTACTTTGGTAGTAAAAATTAATACTATCTTGACGAGAGTGTCAAAGGGTTTTTCTCATGCTGTTTGTATATACACATTGCCTAATCGATAGGGTTTGTATATACAGTGATAAGATATACACACCTGTGTTAGGACAATTAACAATGCCCCCACATGCTTTGATAAGCACAGGAATGTGAAATTAATTGAAAATTTATTAAGAGATTAAACAATGTTTCTCTCTATAATTAAGAAAAAAATGATTCCATAAACACTGATAGTAAAAATTCTTTGTGATCATTACAATATTGGTGAAGTTTTCTATATAAAATTCTTTTCACTTTAGTAAAAAAAAAAAAAATTGTTAAGTTTATAACGATCTAGATTCTCCAATCTATATTATTCACTTTCTTTTATTTGGAGATTCTTCCCACGGTTTAATTGAAAAATAAAATCCATATATTCCCTACATGTATGGCTAAGAGTTCTTCTCTGAAAAAACACTATCAAGAATTTACAGTAACTTAAAAATATCAGGTAATTAAAAACCATCAGGTCACTTAAAACCATCAGGTCAACTAATATTTAAACTATCAAGTCATTCGCTAAATTTTCGGTTTATAAGAAATATCAAGTCGATTAAAATATCAGGAAATTTCTATATTTCCTGCTAGTCTGTATATAAAAGCGTTTTAATTTATATTTTATAAAATCTTAATAATTATCGACAGATTATCCTCGAATATCAGGTCATTCATTAAAATATCAGGTCCTTAGTATTATTATCAGGTCATGCCGTAAAAAATATAATTTGTGATAATCGGCATATATTTGATAATAATAAGTTATGTCTTAATTCTAGGAGAAAAAAAAAATAAATATACCAGGCATTTAAAATCATCAGGTCATCCAATAATATAAGGGCATTGGAATTATCAGGTATTTAGTATAATGATCAGGTCATATAAAAAATAATGTCATTTTCTTGATTTGCATCTAATATTTATATGATTTAAAATAACATACTTATATTATAGTAAAACTATGCAGTTGAACTATATATGGTCAATTGTAACATAAATTTAACAATATTTATCAGGATAATAAAAATAATCAGGTCATTCAAAAATTATCAAGTCAACGTTTTCAGCGAATATTTCATAAAATTGCATCAAATTTTCATACTATTTGATATAAAACACTTATATTATGGTAAAACTATGCAGTTGAACTAAATATGGTCAATTATAACATAAATTTTACCATATTTATCAGGTTTATAAAAATAATCAGGTCATTCAAAATATATCAGGTCAATCTAACGTTTTCAGCGAATATTTCATAAAATTGCATCAAATATTTATATGATTTGATATAAAACACTTATATTATAGTAAAACTATGCAGTTGAACTATATATGGTCAATTATAACATTAATTTAACCATATCTATCAGGTTAATACAAATCAAAAATTATCAGGTCAATTGAAAATTATCAGGTCAACGTTTTCAGCGAATATTTCATAAAATTGCATCAATATTTTATATTATTTGAAATAAAACACTTATATTATAGTAAAACAATGTAATTAGAATATATGTGGTCAATTAAAACATAAATTCAAGCATATTTATGAAGTTAATACAAATTATCAGGTCATTCAAAAATTATCAGGTCAATTGAAATTTATCAGGTTAACGTTTTCAGCGAATATTTCATAAAATTATGCATGTTTTATTAAATAAAGTTCATTTTATCATTGAATTATGGTTGATAATCAATAATTAGTTTTGAAAAATCATAATCAACTCATAATTTTCTAATAATATTATTTAAAAAAAATTCCATCAGGTCAATATCAGGTCTTTAGTATATCAGGTCTTTAGTATGTCCCTCCTTCCACTTAGGCTAAAACTGAACAAGTTTAGCTTTTAAAAAAAGCTTAGAGAGTCAGCCAGTGGATTTTTCTTATTTGTGAAAATGTTTTGAAGAATACGTGTACTACGGTACTGAAAAAAATGCTTTATACCGGTATTGCATGTTTTGTCTCTTAATCAAAAGACAGATATAGTGTAATAAAAATTTAAGTTCAACTTCACAAAACATAATTCCATGAAATTATAAACCTATCTCATCGGATCTAATGGAGTTTAATTTATGAGGATAGGGGACATAGCAATTTCAACAATCCTGCGGCCACCAAACGGAACCTCGTAAGCTTCACTTTCACCCTGTCAGAGTTTGTCATGTTGCAGGTTGAATCACTTAGTGCTACTGTGTTTAGACAACAGAGACACCCTTGCCCCTGCGATAAAGTAACAGCCATACTGAACCCTTAATTGAGAATATCAATAAAGAGCCACTTAAATACATGTAACAAGTACGTACATTTTCTAGTACTCTTAAATTAGAAAAATTTCATCCAAACAGGTAACATGTAAGCTTTTTTTTAGCCTAATCTTTGCATAATTTAAGACATGGGTATTTTTATTTAAGTTTGTTAACTATCACTACTTTAATTTGACCTAGCTAGCTGAATTTAAACTTGAAACTTAAAAAAAGTAGAATTGAAACAAAATAAACAACACGATGACTGGTAAACAAATTCATTTATCAAACTTCTATAACGTAAGAAAACTATAAATCTCTTAATCTGATTGCCACAACATAAATAGTTTCATTCACTGAACAAACTAATTCAGAGAATCTGCGTCTCCCACTTAGGAAAAAAGCATGGATTGCGCAGATCTAAAAAAAAAAAAAGGGGGGGGGTGGTCACGGGACCATATGGTGGATCGAGTTATGGTATAAAATTTGATTGTAAAACGCAAAAATGTTTCTTTTGATATTGACTGGAAATGAAAGTTTTACACACACTCACACAGAGATGTGAATTTATTACCTTGACCTTGAACGTCAAAATAAATCTATACGTGTCTTCTTTTCAGCATAGGTTGTTGTGCTATAAAATTTCATTTCTAAAGCTCAAGGGCTTATCGAGATATTGCATGGACACAAAGGTGTTCAAACAGACATAATTTTGTTTTCATTACCTTGACCATTGACGTTTTTACCTCAAAATCAAGAGAGGTTTTCAATAGTAAGTTGTGTAAAATTTCACAACAAAAGCTCAAGGGCTTCTCTAATTATTTCAAGGAGTTGAAAGTGTTACCTGTAGACAGAAGTACAGACAGGGGTTTAGACAGGCAGACCGAAATAAAATAATATCCTCCACTTCCAGCGGGGGACATTACAAACGAGCAAGCTCAGCCATCGAAGTATCCGCTGTATGCACTAATAAGTCAGTTCACTTAATTGTATCGGGATCGAAATGATGTAATGAAAACGAAAGTAAAACTAATAAAAACTGAATAACTTCAAAATCTCTATTAATCCAATGTTTGTGTCGTAGATTTAAATACATATATAAAATAACTTCAATATACTTTGCAAAAGTCCTTCAATTAACGCATCAAACACTGTGCGATATTTCATACAACTTTGCTTTTAGAACACATTTCACTCAGATGCGAACCAGTTTAATTACACGAGGTTTTAAAAATGGGAAGTAGGATTGTACACAAAGGTTCTAGAAATAAACAAGCATAATGACTTTCTTATTTAAGTTGAATTTAAATTTACAGATTACCGTAGTGTTAAATAGGGATTTCTTTGTTTATTCTATACTGATTTTACTGAAATGAAAGCTAGTGTGATTTGCTGCAGAACTACCTCCCAGAATTCCAAAACGCGCAAGCGCATTTGAAGTTCTTCGTACCATAACTAGTCAGCCCGCGGGCTGACTAACAAGCATTGCAGAACTTTGGCGGGTTTCGTGAAAATGAAAGTAGATTTACTACCTCCACAAACAGAAGAACTCGCAACACTCGCAGAAGATGAGTGGTAAGTAAAACAGTAATTTGTAGGATTTTGTAGGATTATTTTATATCTTATGATGAGGAAAGGTTAATTATCATTTTTTTTATTTATAATCCTCTTCGTATAATTTGTTTTATGTGAAAAGATCAAGATATTCTCATTGAATGCCATGTGCAGCACTGCACGTGCACTGCTCAATACATCATCAAAGATCATTGGCGCGTAGGCCTACGATGAAGTAACGTTACATATCAATAATACAATATTTATTTGCACATATGTAAATATTAATTAATCAAATTGATGTGAATATATGTGTATGTTTTGTGCTTGGATATAGATTTACAGGAAGAAGAATGTAGCTCTCCAGATTTCTGTGAGAAACTGAGCAGCAGTCTCCTACAGCTGTATGAGGAGCAGAAGTTCTGTGACTTTAATGTCTCGGTCGAGAAAAGAGTGTTTAAGGTATGGTTTGTTTGACTCAGGCTTCAGTTGTATCAAACGGCTGTCAAATGTGTCTATGTCCTTTCATTTTTTTTTTTTTTTTTACAATTTAGCATGTTTAGGATTGTCTTCAAATTGGATTATTAAATATAGGTGTATGCAGTACTTATTTTAACTTAACATGGTCTAAAATTCATTGAATTTTATTGGAAATAAATTAATTCATCAGGTCCATAAAGCTGTGATGGCGAGTGTAAGTGACTACTTCAGGGCCATGCTGGAACATGACATGCTGGAAAGTAAAAAAGGTATTTTAGAGCTAAAAAGCCTCTCAGTTGCGGGAGTTGAACCTCTCATCAAATTCTCGTACTGTGGAACAATGACTTTGAACCTTGGAAACATTTATGAAGTGATGAATGCAGCAACTTTTCTTCAGATCATGCCGGCTGTTGATTGTTGTGTCCAGTATCTAAAGAACAAGCTAACGTTTGAAAATGCTGAGGAGTTGCTAAGGATAGCAGATCTGTATTCAATACCTCAACTAAAAAGTTACTACAGAAAGTACATTTTAACTAATTTCCTAGAGTTTGGACTGACAGATAAATTTCTTGATTTGGACAGTGAGACACTGGCAGATTACCTCAGTGACGATGCTCTGAATACAACCTCAGAATGCATACTTCTACATCTTGTTATGAACTGGTACAATCACGATGCAGAAAATCGTAAAGATTCAGCCCTGGAGGTGTTTGAAAAAATCAGGTACGTCATTGATGGATGGCCTGCTGTGCAGTATGCTATAAACTGTGAACCATTCAAGACGATACCAGCATTAAAGGAAGTTATCAAGTTTGCCGACTCTTATTTGGGGAACTATGAGAAGAGATTTACATTTGACACCCATAGGACCCGAATAAGAGGCACTAAAAAATCATTGATTCAAATAGGCGGGGAAATAAAATTCTCATATGACTATTGGGACGATGCATTAGACTTTCCAATGTTATTCAGAAATGATATTTTGGGTTGGCATAGGAACCATTATTATGATTCTAACCTGAAGAAATGGCTTCCTCTTGGAGATGCTGAGATTCAAGCAAAACTCTCGTCACATGCTGCTTTGACAGAAGTGAATGGAAATGGTAAAACTTGATTTCAGTTCATTAAAAGATGTATTATTATAAGAAGTAAAAAAAAAATTCTCAGTATTTAAGATATAAGAATTCAAATCTTGTATCATGTTCATTATTGTGTGGAAGGCAAAACTACTGTCAGACAGTAGCTTATTTATACAAGCTTCTTTTTGTTTCCTAGCAATAATGTGTGGAGGCTACACATATGGTGTGACTGAGACAGGACTCATTTCTAAACACGTGACAAAAAGGACCTGGTTATTTACAGCCAGCGACTGTCGACTGAGGGATATGCCGTCCATGCAACATGCTCGGGTCAAGCATGCAGCAGTCTTCCTGCAAGGTAAAATGAAGCATTTTTGAAGTTTTCCATTCTAGAGGAAAGTTCTCTTGCTAGCCTAAATTTAAAGCGTACATGACTGCATGTAAAGTTCAGTTTCACCTGAAGAGCAATAATGGTACAGCTGTGTGGGGTTGTCTGTCACAAAAACTTTAACCTTGGTCTTAAATTTTAAATGAGTAGAGATGGGGCTTTCATATTTCATATGTATATTAATGACATGTGACAAGATCCCTCCAGATGTACTACAATTTTTTTTACCCCTTGATCTTGAAGTTTGACATATTTTCAATAATTTTAGCATACCCGCTAACTTTAAATTATTCATAACTTTTGAAACGGAAAAAAATTAGGTTTCACATTAAACAGGTATATTACCTGTGAAAAGACCTTTCTGGATATACTATGTTTTTTTTTACACCCTGTGACCTTATCTTTGAAGTTTTCAAGACCATGTCATTGCATGGTGGCCTTATTTTATTGTTGATTTTTAGGATGTGTCTTTGCCATTGGTGGGCTTATTTTATGGCTAATACAGGGTGTGTCTATAACATTGGTGGCCTTATTTCATTGTTGACTGTTTTTAGGATGTGTCTATGCCATCTGTAGCCTTGTTTTATCGTTGACTGTTTTAGGATGTGTCTATGCCATTGGTGGATCTGATGGCCTACGTAAGTTGTGCTCTGTGGAGAGGCTGGGCTGTGATGAGGAGGATAAGATGTCCTGGTCGTACGTCCGCGGATTATCAGCTTCTCTAGACTCCCATGCTGCTGTGGTCTGTAAAAACAAGGTTCGTAACATGCTGAAATAAGAAGTTTATAATTGAAAAAACATTTATGTATGTGTACAAACATTTATGCATGTAGCTGTTACAACATGTCAAGCAAATTTAACATGGATATCGTAAGTTAAGGTGTACAACAATGTCTAAATTTATATCTCTTTACCTAAAAACAATGTATCATTAAAGCCGCTTGGTCTGATTCTAATCGCTAAAAATACATATTCGTTTTTCCTCTTGAAAAATAATTGTCCATAAATTGTTTCAACTTTTGTCAAATTATATCCCCAACGTCTTTTTCTTTTAAAAGATATCAAAATTCAAAAGTTAAAAAAATAATTTTTGTTAGGTCACACTAAAAATAATCCTATGTTGATCATTGTTGATATCGCGTGAAATCACCTTCGAAAAATTAAATTTATCGCTTACATGTTTATCTCATGAAGAACAAACCCAAGCATTTTTTTCCACAACAAAGTACATATTTTATCTGTACACGGACAATATTTTAGCTCCTTTAAAAAAATCATTTAAAATATCTGATTTTCCTTTATTCTTTAAATATGCATATTAATATAAAAATTACTATGGATTATATTCAATTAATTTCTTAATTTTGAAAAGATGTATTATGACTAAGGCTTCTACTAATAGAGAAAAAAAATACTCGGGTTTGAATTATCTTCATTATTAGATATAACCGATAAATTTATTTTTTTCAAAATTGACTTCACAACAGATCTTAAACTTCCGTCAGGAACTACTGTTTGTCAATATGGTTTTTGATATGCGTTTTCCATGTAAGGATTGTTGTAATAAACTTAATTAAATCAATCTTGTAATTTATTTTTATATATTATCTATGTAATGACGTACTTTTATTGTGTAAGATAATATGTGCCTGTTTCGGGTTAAGCGGCTTTAACTGGATTTTAAAAAAACAAAACAATTTTAGCTTTCTTGGAAAAATTGATTTTGATAAGAAAATTTGTTTTGTTAGATGAAATTTAAAACTTACTCAAAAACTGAAGATAATTATTTTGTGAAAAGGGTTATTGTACTGAAAGTTAATCTCTTTGTTAATACTGACAAGTATAACTTGTAATTATATATCTGGAATGCTTTGAAATCTTTGAAGATATACATATCTGGTGGAGAAAAAAGACGGGGCCACATAACAAACATGGTGTGGTGCTACTGTCCCGAACTCAACAGGTGGCGCAAGAGGACGTCAATGTTGAAAGGTATGGCATAAAACGTACTAAAGATCAAGATCACTTTGTATTAAATATGGACACCTGCAAGTATTGCTAAAAATAGGCTCTGCTTGGAGTTATAAATAATCTTTTCTTTAAATCTTTTGTCCTCAGAGAGAAGTGGACATGGAATGGCCAACGTTAATGACACGATATACGTGCTGGGTGGTGTCTCGGGTACATATGAGGTTCTGGACACCATTGAAACATACAGTGTGGACAAAGATACCTGGACAATGATTTGTACCACTCTGCCATTGCCTGTATGTTTTGCTTCAACAGTTGGTAAGATACTGTTAAAGTTTTCAACTTAATTTTGGAAATATTTTAAATAATATAAATTTAATTGATTTTATAAACCAGATTTTTTCGGTCCTGTCGGCAAGGCCTCGATAACATTTAAGAAAATGGACGTTTGAAAAAAAATTTAGCGTAATGCAAATTTAATAAAGGTCGGGATCGGGATTTTTCAAAAACAAGAAAAAATGGCCGCGTTACACAGCATGTTGACGATAGCTAAGTAAATTTGTTATAGCAAAGTCATAAAAAAATATTAAAGATCCCAAGACAGGAAACTTGTTAGATTGAAGTCTATTGAAAATAAGAAAGGACATTTTGCTGCTGTTATTCATATGATTTTACCAGCATCAAAATAACGGATACAAGTATCTGGTCTGACAAAAGTTTGACTGGTCCGACAAAACATTCGACTGTGTCAGACCAAATGTCTGACAGTGATTCAAAAATTTCGACAAGTCTGATAAACCATTTTTTCTCTGACTCCTAATGGACAAGCATCAGAAGTTTTTAAAAAGTCTTAGGTATGAATACTATGATTAACTTAAAAAATTTAATAATTTGGGGGACTATGTACATATTTTTTTCACAAACCTTTAGCCACATCAGACATAAGTTTTTGGCTCTACTGGTCAGAGACCAGAAGAGCTTATGCGATAGTAATGCGTCCGTCCGTCTGTCTGTCCGTCCGTCCGTCTGTCTGTCTGTAAACAATTTTTCAAAATGCTACTCCTCCTACAGTTTTGGTCCAATTTCAATATAGCTTGGCACACAAGTAGACTACACTAAGATACATAATTCTGTGCATCGGTTTTTGATTTCGATGAACGGTGTTGCCATGGTTACTAAAAATAGAAATTTCTGTGAAATGCTTTCAAAATGCTACTCCTCCTACAGTTTTGGTCCGATTTCAATATAACTTGGCACACAAGTAGACTACACTAAGATATATAATTCTATGCATCGGTTTCTGATTTTGATGAACGGTGTTGCCGTGGTTACTAAAAATAGAAATTTCTGTGAAATGCTTTCAAAATGCTACTCCTTCTACAGTTTTGGTCCGATTTCAATATAACTTGGCACACAAGTAGACTACACAAGGATACATAATTCTGTGCATCGGTTTTTGATTTCGATGAACGGTGTTGCCATGGTTACTTAAAATAGAAATTTCTGTGAAATGCTTTCAAAATGCTACTCCTCCTACAGTTTTGGTCCGATTTCAGTATAACTTTGCACACAAGTAGACTACACTAAGATACATAATTCTGTGCATCAGTTTTAATTTTGATGACTGACAAGGATCAATTTTCTATTTATTTCTGTTTTAAAGTTTCAAATCCCAACTGCTACTTTTTTCTTCCTTTGTTTTAAGTATAAACCAGTAGAGCTACAGTCTCAACAGAGACTTCTGGTTTTTACCAGTTTGTAGTTATGAATGATAAGATTTTACTGATTTGTAGTTATGGATGACAAGATTTTACTAGTCGGCGGTAAAAAGACTGGAGAGACAGATAATGAGGATGATGGAATTGATAATATAGAGATGTATGACCCGAAAGAGGATGTGTGGACATCAATGGGAACCTTAATCAGGCCATTGAAATGTAATAAAATAATGTCTCTTATAAATACTGGGACATCAATGGGAACCTTAATCAGGCCACTGAAATGTAATAAAATAATGTCTCATAAATAATAAGACAATAATGGGAGTTTTAATCAGGCCACTGAAATGTAATAAAATAATGTCTCTTATAAATACTGGGACATCAATGGGAACCTTAATCAGGCCATTGAAATGTAATAAAATAATGTCTCATAAATACTAAGACAATAATGGGAGACTTAATCAGGCCACTGAAATGTAATAAAATAATGTTACTTATAAATACTAAGACATCAATGGGAACATTAATCAGGCCAATGAAATGTAATAAAAAAATGTCTCTATAAATACTGGGACATCAATGGGAACCTTAATCAGGCCACTGAAATGTAATAATATAATGTCTCTATAAATACTAAGACATCAATGGGAACCTTAATCAGGCCATTGAAATGTAATATAATAATGTTACTTATAAATACTAAGACATCAATGGGAACATTAATCAGGCCACTGAAATGTAATAATATAATGTCTCTATAAATACTGGGACATCAATGGGAACCTTAATCAGGCCATTGAAATGTAATAAAATAATGTCTTTATAAATACTAAGACATCAATGGGAACCTTAATCAGGCCATGCACTGTAATGTAATAAAAATAATGTCTCTTATAAATACTGGGACATCAATGGGAACCTTAATCAGGCCATTGAAATGTAATAAAATAATGTCTCTATAAATACTAAGACATCAATGGGAGCCTTAATCAGGCCATTGAAATGTAATAAAATAATGTCTCTATAAATACTAGGACATCAATGGGAGCCTTAATCAGGCCATTGAAATGTAATAAAATAATGTCTCTATAAATACTAAGACATCAATGGGAGCCTTAATCAGGCCATTGAAATGTAATAAAATAATGTCTCTATAAATACTAAGACATCAATGGGAACCTTAATCAGGCCATTGAAATGTAATAAAATAATGTCTCTATAAATACTAGGACATCAATGGGAACCTTAATCAGGCCATTGAAATGTAATAAAATAATGTCTCTATAAATACTAAGACATCAATGGGAGCCTTAATCAGGCCATTGAAATGTAATAAAATAATGTCTCTATAAATACTAGGACATCAATGGGAGCCTTAATCAGGCCATTGAAATGTAATAAAATAATGTCTCTATAAATTAGGACATCAATGGGAACCTTAATCAGGCCATTGAAATGTAATAAAATAATGTCTCTATAAATACTAGGACATCAATGGGAGCCTTAATCAGGCCATTGAAATGTAATAAACTAATGTCTCTATAAATACTAAGACATCAATGGGAGCCTTAATCAGGCCATTGAAATGTAATAAAATAATGTCTCTATGAATACTAGGATATCAATGGGAACCTTAATCAGGCCATTGAAATGTAATAAAATAATGTCTCTATAAATACTAAGACATCAATGGGAACCTTAATCAGGCCATTGAAATGTAATAAAATAATGTCTCTATAAATACTAGGACATCAATGGGAACCTTAATCAGGCCATTGAAATGTAATAAAATAATGTCTCTATAAATACTAAGACATCAATGGGAACCTTAATCAGGCCATTGAAATGTAATCAAATAATGTCCCTTATAAGTGCTACTTCTTTTTTTTGGGGGGGGGGGTTAAGAATTTAATTATGAATGTATAAATCACAATTCCAATTTGGCAGGGAAAGTATCATGAAACAGTTACTCTAATTTGTTCTTAAAATAGCCACAATTAAGTTTTCTCCTATTTTAATGATTTGATGACTTATTAGTCCATTTGAATTTACCTATATTTTTTGGATTTCAGTCCAGTCATGCTGTGCCTTGACATTGAAACTGACTGGTAAAGGGGAGATGGAAACTGATGAAATATTCGCTAAATATGCTAATATTGTGTAAGTATTATGATTATACATGTACAATGTATATATCCCTGAACCATTATTAGCAAGCATGGAAAAGTTATTAATGCACTGAAACATACATTTTTATGCCCCCCTTCGAAGAAGGGAGGGCATATTGCTTTGCTGCTGTCTGTCGGTCGGTCGGTCGGTCTGTCGGTCCACTTAGTTTCCGTTCATTTTCTTCGCAACCCTTGCACATACTGAAATGAAATTTGGTATACAGATATATCACATGAATATCTAGGTCAAGTTCTGTTTTGGTTATGATTGCACCATATTTGACACAGTTATGCCCCTTGGACTTAGAAAAATTTCAATTATTTGCAGTTTCCGTTCATTTTCTTCGCAACCGTTGCACACACTGAAATGAAATTTTGTATACTGATATATCACATAAATTTCTAGGTCACGTTTTGTTCTGGGTACGATCGCTCCATTTTTGACTGAGTTATGCCCCTTGGACATAGAAAAATTTCAATTATTTGCAGTTTCCGTTCATTTTCTTCGCAACCATTGCACACACTGAAATGAAATTTTGTATACAGATATATCACATGAATATCTAGGTCAAGTTCTGTTTTGTATACGATCACACCATTTTTGACAGAGTTATGCCCCTTAGACCTAGAAAAATTCCAATTATTTGCAGTTTTCGTTCATTTTCCTTGTAGAGGTTGCACATACTGAGATGAAATTTGGTATACAGATTTATCAGATTAATATCTAGGTCAAGTTCTGTTTTCGGTACAATCGCACTATTTTTGACAGAGTTATGCCCTTTTGGATTTAGAAAAATTTCCAATTTTGGGGGGAGGGGGGCATAAGTGTTTTACAAACATCTCTTGTTAATAGCAGATCAGTACTGTTCCAAAAAAACAAAAACAAAAAAAAAAAAGAATTTTGGAAAGTAGAACAGCCAGACTTTTGATTTCTGGATAATTTTTAAAGTTTAGCTGTACGTGATAACTTTTTGAACAAAATTTATCTATTTTTATCATACATTTTTTTCTGTCTTTGATTTTGATAGGAATAATGATAACCATTTTGAAGATCTGAGTAATGAGCTGGACAGGTTTTACAGCACAATACCAGAGGACTCTTAACCAGTAACTCCAGTATATTCTACAAGCCTTCATCTTCAAGTGTCTCATGGTGATGATTCAGATAGGAAGATAGCTTTGTTAATGATTTTTTTACATTTATTTTTTTTTTATTGATATCGTTTTGGACAAGAAGTGTGCTAATCAATAAGAAGGAAGCATTGTAGTACACTAAACTTTTCAGCAGTGTAAATGTTTTTGGAATCACTGTGTATTGTTTATTACATGTAGGAACATGCATGACTTGTTTCAAAAGCCCACAGTTTAAGTTAAGTTTTGCATTTACTTTTAGTTGTATTTTTACTATTTTTTATATCTTACTTATACCAGTACTTTTTTAATGAATTTTGGAGCAGTAACTCCAGAATAAATAAGTCATCTAATATGTCTGTATTACATTACTTGAAAGGATTTGTAAAAACTTTCTTTTTTGCACATAAACTACAGGAACCATGTGCTTAACAAGAGGCCCATGTGCCACAACACTCACCTGAATAACTTTGACCTTGCTTTTCTTCATCAGATTTTCTTCATACTTGATATTGTGGCCCCATGGTAATGAATTGGACAATTAAGAATCTACACTACTTCAAGAAACTTCCACATGTTACATCTGTCAGCTTTCTGGCCCGGTGGTTGAGGAGAAAAGATTTATACTATATATTTCAATGGAAAAAAATTGACTTCCTATTGTAGTCTCACCCTATTCCAGCTTTCTGACTCAGTAGTTTTTGAGAAGATTTGAGATTTTTGAATTTTTCCCTGTAATATTTCAATGTTAAACTTGGATTCCTATTTGAAGCCCCTGGCATACCCTATCCCCCCCAGGGGGTTATATTATAACATAATATATTGTTATGATGTATTGTAACAATTGAGAAGACTGATCTGCTTACAAGGAGTCAATTACCTAAAACTGATTGTGACCTAAACTTTAAGATGGGATTGGTGGAGGGAAATGAGTTCTAGAGCAGTGTTCAAAACAATCCCAAGATTATTTGTTGAATTATAATGAAGTTGTGAGTTGATAAAACATTCATATATGTTAAAAGAATTTATAAGGGAATTCATTGAAAGCATTTACTCACATTGAGGTTCCTAGTGTCTTAATTACTGTAAATCACTTTTTATTTGTGAGAACTTTATTTTCGCGTAATTACGCGAGACATTATGCTCGCGAAAATTTTATTCTTGTGTATAATAGAATTCCTTAAGATTACATAGAGCAATAACCACAATTTGTGAAAATTTTGTCTCGCTTATCAAGAGTTAATGACTATCTCGCAAAAATAAGGTGTCGCAAAAATTAAGTGATCTACAGACGTACCATGTTCTCCACTAAAACATGGATTTTTTCATATCTGAGATATATTTAGCATTTGATTAAAATGTTGCAATGATCTATAAAGTTTTAACTCAGAAATCTATTATATTATTATAGTGGAAGTAATTTTGTTTTCCATAAGGTATTATGTTATGTGTTCAGTCTTAATCCACAGAAGCTTGTCCGTATGTACTTTAAGTACATTTCAGGCATGAAGTGTTGCTGATCTAGGATTTTCTTCACAAAGATTGAACAGATTGTTTATTGAGATTCCATGAAATTATGACCCCCATGGAATAAGTACAGTTACAATATATTTAGTATATTATACAATTATGGACTCTTGGTGTTGAATATCATTGGCAGATCCAGAGGGGGGGTTCTGGGGGTTGGAACCCCCCCTTTATTTTTTGGAGAGTGAGAGCGGATAAAACGTTTTCCGAGATTATATACATTTGTATTTGTATGTCCCACTTATTTATTGAATACAGAGATTCTCACACATTAAGTTTCCTCCAATCACCTTCTCTATTATACTTTTTTATGAGAGAATGGTAGAAAATATTCTACTTATTTTTATATATCTAGATCTTGTATGTAGCATGCAAAGTTTAATATGATATTGGATTCCCGCGATCTTTGGCTGTGTTGGCTATACTTGTACCGTTTTTTATCATATCTAGATCTATTGAAGGAACTAACATGTAACTCTGTTTTAAAGCCCACCCGCATCCCACCCCAAAAAAAGTTTTTTCAAATTCTTAAAGAAAATTCTTTATACTCTTCGGAAATGATACAAATCCATTCAATTTTAAGGCTTCTTTTGTTTTTGAAACGTTTTTTTTTTGTTTTTTGTTTTTTTTTTTTTTTTTGGTTTTGTTTTGTTTATTTTGTATTTGTTGTTTTGTTCGTACTGGGGGTACGCTTTAAAAAAAAAAAAGGCCATAAAACAAAGATAGTATTTAGCACAACCTTAGATATTTCCATACAAGTCTGTGAATCTTTGCTTGAGAGTATGTATTGAGGGGGGGGGGGGGGGGTAAGAGGGAAACAACCCTGGAACCCCCCTTTCAAAAATTGCTGGATCCGCCCCTGAATATGGTTTATTTATTCACCAGAAAAATATCAGTATTGATATTTTTCTGGTGCATTTAACAATTATAAACCATATTCAACACCAAAAGAGTCAATAATTGTTTTATTATATAGTCTGTATTTGCATAAATAAGACATTGAAGGCTGCATGACGACCCCATTTTAATTTCCGAACCTCCGTCTTTGAAAATGAAAAAAATCTCAAGAGTACAGTTTGTAACCTCCGTGTTTTCCTTTGAGTTTCGCTATATGAAAGATGTCTAAATGTTTGAAAATATAATCCTATGAAAGGTTTGTCTTTAGAACATTTTTCCTGCTTAGATGTCATAGGTGGCTGCGGCCACTGCAACCATTGTTTACAATGTTGATTGAGGTTTTGATTGTGACGTCAAAATGCCCTTTCATGGGCAGTGACCATCAGGTGAAAACGGCCCAATATCCAGTGAATATGTAGTGTTATGAACTGTTTGCGTTTATATATATATATATACACGTATATATATACATGTATATATATGTGTGTGTGTTTATATAGATTATATAGGGACTCTAAATAAATTATATAATAATATTATTTTATTCTTGTATACTTACATGTACCAGTTGGCCATAGTAATTATTTCAACACATTTCTGATTGTTTCACAAAGCTGGAAATAATCTGAAATCTGAAGCATCGGAAGAGCTCTTTTTTGAATATCACAAGGAATCTCACACAAGCCATTAATTTTTCTAAATGCTGAATTCTATTTTCAAAATCGTGATGTTGCACTCATGAGATGGCCGTGCAGAAAACATCCAACTCAGTTTTGATGCTTAAATCTGTCACGTAATAAAATCATGCACATTGTACATGTATCAATGTCTGTGTTAAAAAATGATGTGCTTTCCTTTACATCAAGACAGTTTTTACGTATTACTCTCATGATGTTATCACAATATTCTATTTCTTCAAAGCCTTTTACAATTAGAAGAATTTTAAGTAATTCCTCCTTGCTTGCCTCTTCTAGTTGACACATCCTTATTTTTTGAACGTGAAAAATGTGTCTACAACGATTGTTGTTTTGATGGAATCCTCTGATACACCTCAAATTTGAATTATCTGAGGTGCAACTGCCTCTTGTGAAAACAAGTCCTCTCTTTCAAATGTACTGGCATAAAATAAACCTAAAACAATTTTATGAACTAGTATTATTTTGTCTCCTACTTTAAAAGCCATTTCACAAATTTGTTGTTTGTGAAATTTGTCCCTAATGTGGCCTCAATGGGCATAGTGGAGATTACCAGGTTTGAACATCAGATGGTGCTATTTGTCTGATTATCTTCCAGAACTTAATAGAGGAGGTGGTGGGCTGTTGCTCTCAGAGTAGTTCCTAAAACTTGAAGGAGAGGCTGGGACTGGCATCCGAAACTTAATGGAAGAGAGAGTAGGGTGTTGTTTCCTGACCTATTCCTGGAACTAAGTGGAGAAGGACTTGAGGGGTTATTCCTTGACTTGTTCCTAGAATATTGGTCTAGATGGGCATAGTGGAGATCACCATTTACATTTGTACATGAATGGAAAAGTTGGTTGGGTGTTGTTTTCTGACTTTGCCATGGAATTAAATGGAAGTTGGTGGGGTGTTGTTTCTTGAATTGTTCAAGAAGACATGTATAATGACCTAAATGAATGTAGTGGAGATCATGCTTCAGGCATTAAATGAAGTGGGTCAGGTGTTGTTCCCTTGACTTTTCTCTGAAACTGTATAGACGAAGGAGTGGTGTGTTTTCTTGGAACTTGATAGAGGAGGGAGTGGTGCGTTGCTCTTGGAACTTGATAGAGGAGGGAGTGGTGCGTTGCTCTTAGAACTTGATAGAGGAGGGAGTTGTCCGTTGCTCTTGGAACTTGATGGGGACGGGAGTGGTGTGAGACTGTCATGTTGGTCTATCTTGTGTCCATGTCTGGAACTGTCCCCATGAGCAGTTGTTCTCTTTTTTTTTTCCTTTCTCCACCGATCTTCTCCAGGT